CTCCCTCCTTCCCACTCTATCTAAAAATCAATGGAAAAAATATCCTCGGGTGAGAATTAACAACAACAAAAAGGTTCCTTGGGGTATTTAGGCCAGGTAATTTTTAGATCCTGTTTACCTCATTTGTGTTGTTGTCATTTAGTGTTTAGACCACTTCTGTAGCTACATGACTTTGAACAAGTCACTTGACCGCCTTTTTTACCAGAACTTAAATAACTAGGTACAGAGATTTGTTATTAAGAACTATGTGCCTAAATACTGGGATGGCAAAAGGAACTGGGCAGGTAATCCATCTATAAATTTATTTGGAAAGAACGAATTTGATTCTTTGTTCTTAGGAATAGCCAGAGATTAGTTTTCTCTGGGTTCACTTTGGGAGACATGTAGTTAGACTCTACTGTAGACTCCACTGGAATGATAGAATTGGGTAGAACTGACTGCATTTGCACATGTAATAGGTAGTATACAAGGATATAACTGGGCCAGAGTGTGCATGAAAATATCTAACCTGAGTTTTATATGTCATTGCATCTACAGTAGACATTTATGGTATCTCATGGAATCTTAGCAGGCTATCAATTGTAAAACACAGCGTAATGTGCCACTAAGAAAGAGGAAACGCTGCCAGTCAAACTGCATCGGTGGTTATAAGATACAGCCCAATTTCAGAGACATTGAACTGTAAGAAAAAGTCCATCTTAAAGTCAGTGAAGTGTGGTGTTTTTGTTTGTGTAAGGATATACTTGGGATTTTTTAGTACTCTAAACTAGTTCGCCTTTATTCTGTATCGCGTTCTCCTAGCCCCACGTGCTGTTCAGTGTTTACCTACAAACTGCCTTTTTCAAGATCTGCTGACAAGTTTTAGCATCATAGCACAAAGAAAAATCCATTGCAAAAGCTATCAACTAAAGATTGCTTCTCCTAGTTAGTATTGCTGAGTAGCTCTGGTTCTTCTACCTAATCCCTTTTGATAAAAGAGTGTTGTTTTCTCATTTTTAAAAAAAAATCGTACCTGGAATGCTTACCATTCCTTTTTGTTTCTTTGAAGAAAAGCATCTCCCATTCTTTCGTCTATCAAGACTTCCTATCTTTCTCCTCCCAGTCCAAGTTTACCATAGCAAGCAAATCTAGGTGTCTGTAGCGCTTGTTCGTTCCAGCATATCTGCTTATCTTACCTTATTACCAACAGAAACATTGTCATACCCTATAATCACAGATTCTTTCTCAGCAGTTTAACTTAAAGAATTACAGACTCCTTAAAATTCTATGCAACATTTTTTGCTTGTACATTTTTCTCAGAAGAGGGTTCATTGCTTTTATGCAATTCTTAAATTATTCCATGACCCCAAAAAGCTGAGGAATAGTGGCTCTGAAGTTTCCACCAGAAGGTTCTTAAGTAGGCACTCAGCGTCACAAGGCTCATCACACTTGACATCAGGTCACTGAGAAGAATCCAGGGCAACCCCTTAGGTGGAGCGTCCTTGCAGCAGCCTCTCACTGTCCACAGCCGGGTAAAGGAGCAGATTCCCATGGAGGAGTCTCGACAGTTGTAGTGTGTCATGCTGCAGCTCATAAGGATTTCAAGTGTAATCATGTGCTTCTTTCCCTTTAATGACAGTGATTTACATACCATTCTGTTAAAGAGGCTTCCACACACTTTCATTTAAATCCTTTAACAAGGATCTGGTGAGCACCTACAATGCACCAGGTCCTATCAGGAAAAAGAAGTTAGTAAGACAAATGTGACCTGAGCCCTCCCTGAGTCAGCATTAAACAAGTGTCTGACACGGCCGTCTGACATGGTGTGGTGCAGAGTGCTGGAGCTGAGGAGATGAATCTTCTCATCACAGCTCTGTCCTTAATCCAACTTTAGAAACCACCAGTTAAGGCAGAGATTTTGTTTCTTTCAACATAATTTGCAGCTGAGGATCAAGGAATTGTTTTTAACATCTTTGAATCTTAGGCTGACATTTACGGACCCTCTGCCATTGGAGGGATACTGTTTGAAGTATTTAATGTGTATAAAATATATTTATTTAAAATAGACATATCTTGTGAGGTTGGCTGTCAGACTCTGAAAAGTTTGTTTTTGTTCACCTCTTTTTCAGAATTGATATACAAGGAAGTTATGGACTTGGAAGAGAGAACCAAGAATGGAGTTATACGGGGGCAGCCCTCTCCTTTAGGTTGGTTACAATATAAGCTTGGCTAAGGTTGCAGTTTACTTCTCCTGTTGTAGTCTTCAGTGGCCTTAAACCTGCAATTCTTTCCATATTTACTACCATTAATAAGTATAAGGAGTACAGCTGGGCTGGTTAAATTGGAAAGCGTGGGTGCGCTGCTGCACCAGTGCCCTATGTGATAATGCATTATGCTGCACTGGGAGGAACGTGCTGCACTGTGTTGCGCACGATACTGTGTTACCCTGCGCTACACTGTCTATACAGTGGAGCACTATACTATACCATGGAGCACTATGCTATACCGTGACGCACTAAACTATACCGTGACGCACTAAACTATACCGTGACGCACTATACTATACCATGGAGCACTATACTATACCATGGAGCACTATACTATACCGTGACGCACTATACTATACCGTGACGCACTATACTATACCGTGACGCACTATACTATACCATGGAGCACTATACTATACCGTGACGCACTATACTATACCGTGACGCACTATACTATACCATGGAGCACTATACTATACCGTGACGCACTATACTATACCGTGACGCACTATACTATACCATGGCGCACTATACTATACCGTGACGCACTATACTATACCGTGACGCACTATACTATACCATGGAGCACTATACTATACCGTGACGCACTATACTATACCGTGACGCACTATACTATACCATGGAGCACTATACTATACCGTGACGCACTATACTATACCGTGACGCACTATACTATACCATGGCGCACTATACTATACCGTGACGCACTATACTATACCGTGACGCACTATACTATACCATGGAGCACTATACTATACCGTGACGCACTATACTATACCGTGACGCACTATACTATACCATGGCGCACTATACTATACCGTGACGCACTATACTATACCGTGACGCACTATACTATACCATGGCGCACTATACTATACCGTGACGCACTATACTATACCGTGACGCACTATACTATACCATGGAGCACTATACTATACCGTGACGCACTATACTATACCGTGACGCACTATACTATACCATGGCGCACTATACTATACCGTGACGCACTATACTATACCGTGACGCACTATACTATACCATGGAGCACTATACTATACCGTGACGCACTATACTATACCGTGACGCACTATACTATACCATGGCGCACTATACTATACCGTGACGCACTATACTATACCGTGACGCACTATACTATACCATGGAGCACTATACTATACCGTGACGCACTATACTATACCGTGACGCACTATACTATACCATGGCGCACTATACTATACCGTGACGCACTATACTATACCGTGACGCACTATACTATACCATGGAGCACTATACTATACCGTGACGCACTATACTATACCGTGACGCACTATACTATACCATGGCGCACTATACTATACCGTGACGCACTATACTATACCGTGACGCACTATACTATACCATGGAGCACTATACTATACCGTGACGCACTATACTATACCGTGACGCACTATACTATACCATGGAGCACTATACTATACCGTGACGCACTATACTATACCGTGACGCACTATACTATACCGTGACGCACTATACTATACCGTGACGCACTATACTATACCGTGACGCACTATACTATACCATGAAGCACTATACTATACCATGGAGCACTATACTATACCGTGACACACTATACTATACCGTGACGCACTATACTATACCGTGACGCACTGTACTATACTATGGAGCACTATACTATACTATGGAGCACTGCACTATACTATGGAGCACTATACTATACCATGGAGCACTATACTATACTGTATTATACTGCGCTATACTATATACTGTGACGCACTATACTATACCATTATTCAAAGTTTAATGAGTATACTGACAGATGAGAGACTGCATCAAACGCACATTGTTTTCTGTGGTTTTGACACTCCACTGAAGAACAGAAAGGTTTTGTTGGCATTGTCTTGTCTTTAAAGAAGAAATTTCTTGCAGTGCAGTGTTCTTTCCTTTTATGGCCTTCACTGCTTTTACTTCGTGTGAGTAAGCTAAAGCTGCACTGCAGAATTCGGTGCATGTGATCCCAAGTTACCATCCTTGACCTTTTGGTGTTTTTGACTTGTTAACCCAAGACGATGCCATTAAAACAACCATTGGAAAGTGTTCCATCTCTAAGAAGGAACTGGTTTGCAGGAATTAAACGTTTTCTTTTATCATAAGCTCATATTTAATTTTAGTACTTATAAACGCATAAAGAATTGAGGGAACAGTTAAATGACAGGCAGCATAAACATATTAAGTTCATAGCCACATGACCAACACTGGTGGTTTGTGTACTTTATTTCATCCAGCCCCAAGACCCCAAAGGAGGGATTTTATGCACACTTTACAGTGAGGGAACTAAAATTCAGAAAAATGACATAATACTACAAATCTATTGTGTAGAAAAGGTAATCCTTGAAGCCCCGTTTATCAGTAACTTTGGAGGGCGTGGTTTTCCCAGCATCTCATATGTCCTCTGGCTAGGAACAGACTTCTTTTTTGGCTACAGAGCTCAGGGCAGTTTCATAGAAGAGGTGAAATTTGAGCTGAGCCTTGAAGGCTGAATAGCGTTTCAATAGGTAGGTCTTAAATTTGAGTAAAACTGTGCCATTTTAGTTATCCCTCGAAAACTCTTCTACATTCTAAGAAAAAAATTGAATATTATATCTGCTTATGGATAAAATTTTTAACTATAGTTTCAGATGCCCATTTTGTTGTACAGTAAACATATATTTGTTTAAATAATTTTTGTCATAGCTTCCTATGACATTTTTGGTTATTTTAAAGTTTTTTAAATGTTTTGTCAAATCCTTGATCAGGAATGCAATTTTCCAAATTATGATATAGATCCTGTTGAAAATATAAATTGGTTCCAACAGCTTTTACTTAGAATTAACTTGTAACAAAGCTATATTGTAAGTGCTTTAATAGCACAGTTAATTAGCTTGTATTGATGAACAGCAGTAGTATAACTGAGTGCTCAGGTGGGATTGGAAAGTCTATCATTTGGGAGAGTCTCACACTGTAGCACACTATCCTAGTGAGAGGCACATCCTCAGAGTTGACTGCATAAACAGTAATTTCATTAGATAGAGTGGTTGTATTTGTTCTTAATTTATAAGTGAAAAATTTGGATCCTAGACAACACTTGAGGATGGTTACAAGAGAAGTCAACGGAAAGGACAGGATGTCAGGTTTCTGGACATATTCGAGGTTCTCATCATTTGCAAAGAAGAATGTTAGTAAAGCTGTTATAAAAATACTGTATTTTCGATTATATACAGAGAAAGAAGGAACAGTCTTTGACATCAAAATACCAGATAATCACAGTGTAATTTCTACTTGATTTTAAAAAATGAAACATTATCAAACTAAGAAATTTGGACAAAAGGAAATTTGGATAAAAAAATAGAGGCAAGAAAAAGTATATATGATGGAACCCTTTTATGAATTGAATGTTTCAGTACAAGTCTTTGAAGCTAACCATTGTTTTTATATAGTCTTCAGTCACCACGGGCAAATTCAATAATGATGTGTGGGTTGAACTTTTTAAAAAGTACAGTCTCTTCATTTCACTCTAACTGGGAACCTAATGGACCTTTCTTGAGTCTAAAAGGTTGTCATATTTGCCCTTCTCTTCTGTCAAGGCCCGAAGTACTCAGTCTGCTTTCCTTTTTCCTGTTGCACTGCTGATCACCTGCTCTGTCTATGGTTCCATTCCTTTCTGTCTCCCAGCACCCTAAAGATTTGCCTATTCTAACTCTCCTGGCTATTTCCTTGTTGCATTTGAAGACAAGCTCTCAGAGGGCCTTTCATATTTAAGTTTTTATTACTGGTCATTAGACAGAATGGAGGGATAATTTCCAACACACAGATTCTGGGTTCTCAAGCAGCAGCTTTCAACCTGCTTAGTTTTTAGCATCTTTGGGTGCCTGAAACTCACCCCTAGAAATTTTTTCTATTGCTCATTTTGGAAACCTTTGCTTTTATTCTATAAATGTGTTCTTAAGAACTTTTGTACAACTTGCATTGTTTGGTGTAATCAAATTTAGAATGACCCTTATTTAGTGATCTGAGGTTCATAGTACTCATCAAGTGTATGAATCGCTTATAACACATTCCCTACCTCCACTCTCATTCCCTCCCCCTTCCTGACCTTGAGAGGATTTTTCTGTAGGTTTAAGTACAGGCATACCTCAGAGATATTTTGGGTTTGGTTTCAGATGACCATAGCAAAGCGAGTATTGCAGTAAAGTAAGTTGTAATCTTTTTGCCAGTGGAGGGCTTGCCTTCAATTTGTTAGAACAAACAAACAAAAAAATGCAGTGCCCACAGAGCACGATAAAGTGACGTGCACGATAAAGTGACGTGCAATAAAACGAGACATACCTGTATTCCTATTGTTTTTCAAAATTCAGGAAGTTCTTGTTAGGCAATACTTTTGGTAAAGGAAACAGTCTTCCCCAACTCTGTCTGTTTAATAAATCCATATTGGCACTTACCAAGTATTTATTAGAATAGAAATAACAAGACCTGAGTTTACCTAACTAGGACACTTGATTGGCTGTGGCAAGTCATGTAACCTCATGTAAATTGGGGCAGTCGAAGGAAAGACCCTTTCAATTGAAATGATTTCAGTCTTTGTCTTGGCTTTTGCTTAAAATAAGGTGTACCAGAAGTATTGTCTGTACTTTACAGTGAGAAGATATCATAAATCACTGTTTATTAGGGCAGTAGTTTTTACTTTTTGAGTCATATGTTGCTTTGAGATCCTCTTTCTGACAAAATGCAAGACAGTTTTGCATGTATTACTGTAAATCAAACAAAAAATGGAAGTTCGGCTGCCTGTAGCAATGAAAGCCAAACTCATAAGGCAGGTGCTGGCGCAAAAGGAAAGAAGTTTTATTCAGGAGCCACATGACCTGGGAGAATGGTGGGCTCATGTCTCAAAGACCATGCCCCCTTCTGTCTCAGAGATAATCTCTCTTCCTGCTCAAGCCCACTGTTCTTAATAGGGATAGGGAGGGGAGGGCTTTTTTGTATCTATTCATCTTCCTAGCTTTTATGTGCTAGGGGCCCTATCCTTTCATCTTTCTAGCTTTGGGCCTGCTCGGGTCCTGTCCATTCATAGTTCTAGCTTTGGCACCCTCAGGCCCTGTCCATTCATATTTCTAGTTTTGACACGCTGTGTAAGAACCTTCCCCTGCCAACATCTTGGCCAGTGAGGGAGACTCCCCAATGCTCCCTGTCTACAGTAACATTATCAGTGTTATTCTCACTCACAGCCTAAAGCCCATTCATGAGTCTTGCAGTAGGACCATGTCTAAATGTTGCTTGGACTTAACAATTCTTGTCTTGGACTGAAAAACAAGTTTGTGGGAAGGACAGGACGCTGGGTTTCCAGACATTTTCAGAGTTCTTGCTTCATAATTTGCAATGAAAAGAGCTTGTAAATTAGTGTTGTTTTGAATTTCACTTGTGATTCTTTTTAGTGAGCCTTTTAAAGCCAAGAGAAGAGTTACTGACCACTGGCAGTAGCCAGTACAGTGTGAGTGGCTGGGTCTACAACTCTGTCTGCAACTGATTTGCTGTTTTGTTTCTCATAGCACAGGTGCAGCAGTGATCAATGGCTCTCAGCACCCGTCGTCATCGCCGTCCGTCAACGACGTGTCTTCAATGTCAACAGACCCGACTTTGGCCTCGGACACCGACAGCAGTCTAGAAGCATCAGCGGGACCTCTGGGCTGCTGTAGATGACTACTTGGGCCTGGGGGGTGGGGGTGGGAGCCATT